TGAGCTCGACTCCCGCGCCGGCTTCTTCTGGGGTGAGCTGGTGCATCGGGAGCGACTCCTGGCGTCGGCCATCGATGCAGCACATGGTGACCAGGTTGGGTTGCTAATCGTGTGGTGTTTTGTGCTTCAGGGACCACGTCCCGGTGTACCGGCCGAGGCATAGCCACGCCCGATGTTTCTTTTTTGTTTAGCGTGCGCGGCTGTGCTGGGTCGTTCTCCCGTTCCGTGAATTTTGTTCCGTGTCGATGGCGGCTGGAATTTGTCCTGTGGCTTGGCTGTGCCGCTGGTGTGCAGGAAGGCGCATGGCCTGCTGCGGTGTGTTGGGTGGAGGACGAGACGCCTGCGTCTCTCCCGGGTCACCCTCACTGCCTGGACATATGTCTTGCAAGATAACGAAACTTGGAAAGACCTGACTCAAGAAAAAGAATCCGAATTGCAAGAGCGCCCTCAGCGGAATCGCACGCGCAAATGTGCCATCACATGAGGCCAGCTAACAGTGGGACTCTGTGACAATGGTACTGCGCGCCATCACTGACTCAGGTCGCACGAAACCTGGCACATTGGGGCATCCCTAAGCAGCACTGGAATCACTGTAATCAACGAAAGGAGGAACTGGCTGGTTGTGGAAGAACCTTGCTTGCAGTAGGTAATACCTGACACCTGGCAGTTTTTCGCCCCAGGACACGTGAGAGTTATGGGATGATTTCCTTACCATCGCACCTGGAAAAATGGTGACTCCCCTAGACGACCTCGCCCCTTGAGCGTCTCTTCAGGTTTGTTGTTCAGTCTCGGAAATGCGCTCATGTGAGGCGACAGGTCGCTGCAGAAGCGCCTCAGAAACTTGCGGTAGTCCACGTTGCCTTCCTGGTCGACATCCATCATGTCCACCAGCGCCGCAGCATCTTCTTCCTGGTGCCCATTGTGCGGACAACAGTTGAGAAAATCGTCCACATCCTTTTGGATCAGTGTGAATAGGCGAGGATCAGGCGTTTTGCTGCAACCGCAGACTGACTGTCCGAATGAGCCGGGCTTCCTATTTTCGCGGCAAAGGGTGCACATATGTTGCATCTGAGGCACGGACCTGGCATTTGGAAGCGGATCTTATTTCGAAAGGAACGGTGGCCAAAATCTATTGCTGTACAGTTTGGTATCGTGTTTATTTCACTGGTGTCGTGTTAATAGAATCAATTTGTCAACATAGATTACTACAAAAGTGAAATGAAGAAACAATTCCCATTGAATAAGGCTCATAAAACTACATCAGACCCATTATCACCATCTATAGAGGGCGATTCATCATCAAGGCATTGAAAGTGGCTGCACAAGTGAATTGGTGACGGAATCCCTCTTTCTTCGCGAATCGTGAGTTACGACTGCGTGTTCAACATTGTCTACTAGCCCGTCAGCGGTGTGCAGGCATTGTCGCCGCTACCATGCTCAACTTTTAAAGTATTCCCAAGAGACACATTACGACGCCCTGCTGCTCAGGATGGCAATTGACTGTGAAGCGGTGCTGGCAAGACCATTCCCTTTATGCACAGCCTCTGTGAGTCCTAGGCCATACCAAACTACGTGCTCAAGTGCAAACTATGCTCAAGCCCAGCCAATCATTTGTTCACAAAGCTTTATGCTTCCCCTTCTGCCAGTGCTTGCAAGGAGCAGCGAGAATATGGTGTGGCAAACTTAGCATCGCCGAGGTGCAGAAGCGGCTTCCTGACAACGGCTCATGTGCATCTGCGCACTGCCTCTGCGTACTGTTCTCCAATCTCATTCGCAAATTATTGACATGCAAGTCGAGTCGATTGAGCGCAGATCCTTAACCTGAGCGCGAGGTTCCTGCTTGTTGCACACATCGAGCACAACATCAACCGGGAGGGTCCCGTCCTGGTTGTGATCATGAAGTCGGAAATGTTCCGTTTTCCTGTCTCCCAATCTGTACAGCTTGTCTCGAAGGTTGCGTAAATGTGGACGCTTTTCCCAGTTGAGATCCCCTGAAGACCGACTTTTCCTGAGCGCCATCAGACTTCCGAAGTTGTTGGGCATGGCTGACACGCTGCGCCGTAAATTCTGTCGAAACCGATGGACACATGTCGATTCTAAGTTAAATACTCCGTGGTCCCATTTACTCCCCCAGTGGCGAAACGTTTGAAGGGGGCTCCAGGGTAGTGCTATTGGCCGGTGGCTTCAGAATATAGAGGATGCCGGCATTTGGGCAAGCAATACAACAAACTCTCTATGGCGTGCTGACAGGATGTTTTCACTGGTATATGACATTGCGCATGCACAGAAAGCTAGCCAGAACTTCGCGGTGCACACCAGTCGCCTTATGCACTCGGGTGCATGCAATTCTGCGTGTGAGGCATCAACCCCGTTTTAGCATCTGTGATGTCAAGATGAGGAACTTTAGAGGGTATATTTCTCTGTGATGCCCGACCATTGTGCACGCCATCATTTGACGCTGATGGCATGATTGATCTGATCAGTCCGCAATACTCCGCCCACCATTCTTAACGCCACAAAACGAAATCCTGAAGCAGAATGCTACATTGGTTGGGATTTTCATCAACACGTCATGGTCACTATCCATTGTCTAACCTGCATATTGTCTATGTTCACTATCTATAATCTATCTGATAGAATGCAATTTAAAATAATTTAGAAATGCGCACGAGGGAGTGGCAACGGTCACCTTTTGAACGAACCCCATCGTCGACCCAAAGCTCTTCATGAACTCCCGATGGTCCACGGTCCCAGAATTTTTCGGATCAATGGCCTTGAAGAGCCTGTCCATCTGCTGATCCGGAATCGCCAGCCCCACTGCATTGATTGCTGCACCGAAGTCCGCTCTGCTCATCTTCCCAGCCTTCGCTGTGTCCATCCTCTCGAACACCCGGCGCATCGAGCGTTCGTTCTTCCGGAACTTGGATTCGATGAGCTTGAGCACACGCACGTCTTCGGCCTGATGCGGCAAAATACGATGCACTCGACTGGAGTGGCGCCCCACATCCCAAGCAAGACTCACACCGTAAGCTGCTCACAGCCGTTGCGGTGTCTCATGCAACAAATCCCCCGTTTAGGACCAATCGCTGAGACGCAAGTCCTTGCTCATTGCCACAGAAAGGCGCTCTGGGAAGGCGAACATCATGGTGACAAAATGGGGTTGCAAGGCTCAAGTAAGCGACGACTGTCTTGACTGTAACCATCGTCTATTATACAGCGGCTATTTCACAACAGAGGCCAATTTATAGATCTCCTAGATGCCGCAAATTCCAGCAGCTGTCCCCCACTGCAGCACCTGACAGACATTCTCAATGGCCCATTCACAACCCGAGCCGATGAGCCATCCGCATCCATCCCTCCCATGATCGCAACCATCCCCGTGCTTGTTCAAATTCACTCATACGTTTGTCAAATAGACTTGACAAAACACGGCCCTGGATCCTCAAGGAGATTTTAGGCTTAATTCCATGGATATGCTTTACGTTTCACGTGTTGGCAACGGCAGCAACTGCCCAGGACACAGCTGAGGGTCGCGAACATCACCGTCTGCTTCTCCTTCCCGTTCTTCGAGCCGCAGCGGAAGTAGGCCGACTCCGGCACCGCCCCTCCCGTGTGCGCCGCCTGCACCACCACACTCAAGTGCCGCTTCTCCCAAGGCGGCGCCAGGAGCGCGTCCCTGCCCACTGAGGCGGCCGGCGGCCCCAGCGGATGGGCGTTGTCAAGAAAATGGTCGGCCAGCCGCGACACCGCGATGCCCGCAGGGTCCCCGGACTGCAGCGTGTCCACAATCCTGTCCAGCTCGGCGTCATCCTCCGCGATGCGCTTCTCCTTGAGGACGCCCACGAGCTGCTCCCTTGTCAGGAGGCCGTCCTCGCCGGAGGCCACGCGCCGGAGAGCCTGCTGGACTCGGGCCTTGCGCAAGACGACCCAAATAGTCACTGGCATGAAATTGACCATTTCGCGCAGTTATCATGAAAATGTACTCCCTGCTTAGATAGCCAAAACTGGCGGAAATCTTGCAATCGTGGTGCAAAACACGTTTACACGGAGGCAATCATTTTCCGAACTTTGGTCTTGTCGGCGGTATTTTGAATGCGTTGCAAATTAGCATGCCAATATACATGCACGAATCAGGAACGCCATGTTGTAATGTAACGATTGCCTGACATTGGCGTCTTCACACATGGTGAATTACCGATACCCTACTTTCAACAATTATTACCGCAAAATGGCGCATTGCGGCAGAAATCATGACGCGGATCGCATTATGGGGTGCGTGTGCCGCACATACGCTATGCACGTGTCAGCGCGGCCTGGCCTAGCATGGCCTTGTGCTCGACCGAACTTGATGAGAGCGCCCAGAAGTTACGCATGGCGCTGTCACATCCATGTTCCCAACTCCCTGAATTGACACCCACGTCCCGCTGGACCGGGGCTTTGCTCCTGAGCTTCAAGGCGCCGGCGGTTGTTCTGACTAATGCATGAATGACGATTGCTTGTATAGAGAGCCGTGCAGGGGCTCAACCATGCGGTCCTAAATGGTGACGGCCAGTGCGCCGAATAAATGTTCTCGAATGTTCTCAGGAGGCGCACCTGCCTTCAGCACGTTATGTGACAATTGGTTTACGGATCCAGTGCATCGAAGCAGCGGCGCTTCTGCTCTGTGCTGCACTGCGCGTGCCCGGGCTCACCCGCCTGAGGCAAAAGTCCACCTTGTCGTGGACTCTTTGGATGACTCTCCGGTCGCCTCTCACGCCGGGGTCAAGTGGCCTCTCCTCAAAGACAGGCGCACGGCATGTCAGATTCGATTGATGCTCGAGCTGACACCACTGTTTCCAACACATGGCCGCGAGTGGGCCACATCAGATGACACAGGACAGGCACAACAGGACTTCGGTCAGCCGTGTCACCCGATGCGAGTGTATAGGCCGCTTTTCCGACTCTAGCCTCTCGTTTGGTTGCCAAAAAGTTATTCCAACCAACTGCTCGCTTCACCAATGGAAATGGCGTGCCATACCCCCGTGAGAAAAAGTGGGCGACGCAGTGAATATGGATTTGGAATGCCAAACTTTGTGTTGAGGATCCATTGCGTGGGTTGACGGAGGATGTGCACTGTGGGGATGGGGCGCCTAAACAGCACTCTGAATGAGTGTGGGAACAGCTGCGAACGAATGAGAGTGGGGCGATAGCTAGTGGGGCAGTTGGAGGGAGCTGCGGTAGAGGTTGTAGAGGAGGGAGTGGAGGAGAAGGGTAGCGGGTAGGGACCCTAGGAACGTCGGCGGGCGGACGGGTCCAGGGCGCTGGCCTAGATGTCAAAGGGTTTCACTGGACATTGGTGAGGCCAGAATAGCTGGGGCAGCCGGTGGAATGTTCGATCGAGTTGGCGGCCTTCGGACAGACTGGCCCGCCAGATTCCATGGAAAACGCACGAGGTAGTCAGCATGTACAAAACAACAAACCGCGTAACGAGCAATGGGGTTCATGCCGGAGCCACGGACGGCGCAGGCAAAGGGTTACCGATCGTGTGACTGCGCCACCGGGCACCCTTCGACGGGCCGGCAAGCCGTGCTGCAATTCGTTTGCACCGGCGTAACAGCACGGAGGCCATGCCACCCATGCAGCCATCGTTCATTTTAAAATTGAATGATGTGCAACATTTGCACAACAAGGCAAGGGTGCCCGCTCATCCACCTGTTTCCAACTCCTCGCTTCCCATCCTCGCGGCCGCCATCCGCAATGGCGTCCCTGCGAGCGGGGCCGCCAATGTGCACACCGTCAACAAAAGTCAATGGTCAACGCCCCCAGCCCAACTTCGCCTCAAATCTGGGTCACAGGACCCCTCCCCCTCCCACCTGGAGACTGCTCCGCCGGCCTCTCCACGGGCTCCGAGGTTGCTGCGCCGAGGCAAGAGCCGAATGAAAACAGGGAGCGGCCAATCGATCAAAGTGGCCAACGAGCATCACCGCTTCGCAAGCAGGTCAACGATCTGACGCAGGCTGCCCAGACTCTACGTGTGGGCCCGTCACTGCATCAACATCAGCACTCGTTTTCGAGTTTGTTTCAATATCCATACTCGTTTGAAAAGCGGAGATGATGCGGCATCGGCGAATCGCTCGGCGGCGCCGGGCGGCCGCGTCCAACCTGTGGCCCGTCGAGTGCCGGCGGTGCCTCGCTCCGGGCCCGTCGCGATGCGGACTGCGCGCCGCAATGTTGGGAAACGTGTGATGGACCACCGCCCTTGGGCGGGGCGCCGCGGGGGCACGTCGCGCGCTCTCCATGGGCCCTACAGGGTCGCGCGAGCAAGGCCGGGAAAAATTGAGGAAGTTGGTAAGGGCGGCGCTTGGTCGCCAAATGGGAGGCCTGGGAGGCAAGGAGCGTGAGGAAACCGAATGGCGGGGCGGTGGGTCAACGCGTTCCTGCCGGGAAGCAGCACGCGAAGCGACCTGTTGCGGTCGGCGCCCGTGGTGCGGGAGTAGGGTAGTGCAGGGCAGCCGGTGCTTTGCTTTTCACTGGATCAGGAATCTTTGCTCATCAAGGCGAGGATGGACAGCCGTCAGCGCCCTGTTTGGACCGAGAATTGCAGCGTCTGCAGTGCATTCAATGGAGCCCAACAAGCTGCTTCGTTCTTCTCTCGAAAGAGGCGTGAGCCGGAACTGCATTGCGTTGATGTTCGGCGTGGTTTTGATGCCGGCCGCAACTGCTGGCATTAGGGGATGGTGCCAAAGAGCAGAGAGAGCATGAAGAAACCGTGACGCGACAAGATCCCCAATACGGGAGAATGCCGGGCACCCTTGTACATGACAGTGAAAAATTAGGAAGAAAACAAACGGCTTGAACCTGTGGACGCCGTTCATCACTCCCAGCGTGCAATGGCCTCAATTTGTCTCGTCAAGGGGACGTTGTAAAAAGTAATTGCTGCGTGCGCCTTTCCTCTTGTTTTCTCCCCGCACCCACTCATGCAAACGCCCCACCAGCCAAGGAGCGGGACAAGAGGGCTAGAAGCGCACGTCGTTCAGCGCATTCTTTGTCATGTTGGACAACCGCAAGCGCATCAGCAGTGTTGGTGTGAATGCAAGCAGGTGCACGGCGTCGACAAAATCCGCAACACCTCCAGAGTTCGTCGTGAGCAGCTCAACACGCGGCAGCCGCAGCTGCCCGCAGCGGAAAGTGGTGCATGCCTACCTTCCAGCAAGGCAGGGCGGCGCGCTCAGAAAAGGATCTTGCAAGTGGCAATGCAAAAATGCAAAAAATCCCCAAACAAAAACGCCGTTCTCAGCGCCCGTCAGGCCACCCAGCCACCATGGCACAATCCCGGAAAGACCCCACCCTCACCCAGCCGCCCAGCCGCAGGTCATGGGCCCACGCAGACGTGCACATCAAATCCAAGGTAGAAATCCGAGATATGTATCCAAGGTGTACATCCAAGGTATTGTGCCCGCAACGCATAGCCCCTACTTGACCACTGGGTTTGTCCTCGACGACTCTCCCACCAGCTCCATCATCCTCTGGTACCACGGCAGTACCTTCGAATTGGCCAGCATGTCGTGAAAGGTGGGCGTGCCCACGATCGACCTCATGACGCCGAAAACTGCCAGGTCCGCCAGATTGGCCTCCCGGCCGCCCATGAAGTCCCTGTCCCCCACGGCGTCCGCCCACTCGTCCAGAGCCTCGTACAGCGCCTCCCGCAGGTCGCCCTGTATGTTGTACTTCTTGGGCATGCCCTTGCCAACGCGCCACATGAGGGTGGTGCCGAACAGCCTCGCCGCCTGCCGGGTGGCGGGGTTGAAGTTGCCGTGGTCTGTGATGTAGTCGAACGTCTTCCAGGACTCCCTGGGGGGCATGGCACATCGCGCACGCCGTGAATGGGGGACAATCAAACGTACTCGGATACGTGCAGTACTGCCATCGACTTTCACAAGCAAAGGGCCCCTCTGCTGTCCCGTAGGCAAGGTACTGAAAAGGGAACAAAGAAGTGCTTGTATTGTCCACAAATGTCTATTCTGTTTCTGCGTTTTCCAATTACTTTACCCTGAGCATGGGGATATTAGGATGTTGGGGCGAGGACCGCATTGACAGACAGACTGGACAGTGCTGAAATGCTGCGGCATCTGTTTCATCGAGAAGTGAGAAGGCAATTTCCAGCACCATATACGGAGATGCTGCAGAAAATCAAACAACTTTCTCACACAACGTCTACGTAGAGGTCTTGTGAGAATGTTGCTTGATTTTCTGCAATCTGTGACTCATGCCATCTATTGTTACAGAAGTTGGAATCAACATCGCATGCTCAGATTACTCGGCAACATCCCCAATGTGCTGAAAAATGCAAGATGCACGCAATTCTCTGTGCCCATGGCAACAACCACTCAAATCGCATGACCCCCACTGGCTGCGGTCCTTCCAATATGAGCAAGCATTCCAGAAGCTGGCCTGAAGGCACAAACATTGAGCGAGAGAAATTGCATGAGTCAAGACAGAACGGATGGCAAGCACAATCTCCGAACATGTCGAATATCAGCCCATCGTGCAGCCGATAATGGGCGCCCAGGGCACATTCCATCAGCACAGCCTCCATGGTTGGTGGCGCACCCCCAGGATCTGTAAATGTTGGCAGTGATAATCTTCATGAGCCGGTCATCCACCCATTTTCTCCATTTCGCTTCCTCCTCTGTGCTAGCCGGCGACACCTTCGCACCTCCAAACCTGTAGCACCAGAAAAATGTGCATGCCCTCAACAGTGAGCTACTGAAGGGCATGCTCTGCGACTCACACATGGTGGTACTCATCAGAGAGGACAGGAAGTTGTCTATTCACCTCCACAGCAGCAACCATTCACAATTCACGTTGTTGCTCTCGACTGCCACAAAGGTCCACATCTTGTGTGGCTCTTACATGGGGGTTCATGGATACAGGATCAGATGCAGCTGACATGGACACCTGGCAATGGCAATGGATGGTCGCATTTGAACACAGGCAATCCGGCAAGTGGGACAACAATGGCTCAACAGGACAGCGCCATTCAGGTCACATCCTGCACTCCACAACACCATAAAACATTCAACCCTTCCGCATCACAAAAATCATACTGCTACGCTTCTTGCTCTGCATTTATTTTCAGAGCGCTATTTAGTTTTTCGTGTTGCTTTGCAACAACAACGAACTTTACCATTACGGTCTTATCAAATTTTCTCAGCAAAAGAGGCCAAGTGTAATGTTACCATCCAGAAGGGTTGAATATTCTATGGTACTGCTGTTTGGATGTGGGCCTGAAACGAATGAATTGACATCAAGCCATTGTCAGGCCCCTGCAGCAACAACACCTCGCCATTGGAGTAACCCTGACACACTTAAGGCCCAAAACACTTGATTTCAAGGAACTCTTACAATACTGCAGAGCTGCAAATTCAACCAGAGCTCAATTTGTGGCTGATGTTGATGGGCGTGCTGCCCAGTGGCAGTTCTTGGCATGTTATGAAGAAAACCAACTGCTGCACTTTCTATGGGAGCTTACGACTGGGAGCCCATGCAAGTTTTGTGTCTCAATCATGTGCAGTTTCAAGTGCATCATGTACACTGCCAAATCTGCGACAAAGCATTTGTCTGCGACAAGTCAACTGGGACTGTTTTTTATAGGTGCGAGTCTGGGCGGTCTTGTGGCAGAGGTTAACAAGCCGCCACAAGGCTGCAACAGTTGATGGGAGAGCTGAGGCCAATGTTTGGTGGCAGATCCAAGGCAACACGAGACACCCTACTCAAAGGCTTTGCTCCCCTTGTCCCTCACTGCCGTTTGCGCCGTCAAATGTTCTGAAAGATCAACTGTTGCAATCTGGCTTCACAGTGATCTGACTTGACATTAATTGTCAAAATTTGCCTGACAATGTCAAACTTAAACGCCTCCTATGGTGGGAGTGCCACCAAAATTGGCAACTGGAATCCTGTTCGGAAAATTCGGTGTTGAGTTTGCAGATGCTGAAGACATGAGTGCCGCTTGAATTGTGAATGAAATGTTCGTCACGACCATGTTTTGAATCAATACTACCCAGCTGCAGGTTTACTCACCAAGATGACTTTTTCTGATTTTCTCGTTTCCATTCTTCCACTTTTTCGGCCATTGCATCAATTATGGAATTGCTCTCGTTCATCTTCTCTTCCCCGAGCTTGACAACAGGGACCTTCTTGAAGGACGACCATTTCAATTCTTGTTTGGTCAGGGGGTTGACTTCCACAACTTCATAAGGAATCTGAACATGGACAACGACAAATAATCAGGGCACAAGGATAGTGTGTGAACCCATGCACATTCGAAGCCCACTCTTTACAATATTGTTCTTTGACATCAAATGGACATTGTTGGCACCACTTTGGGGATAGCATTTACTTCATTGTTGACACATAGGAGAT